TTATTTTTGTTATAACACATTGAATTCGTTGAGATGCCTCCTACATGTTAGAGATGGTGTCAGGCCCTTGTCCCACCGGCAGCTTGAGGTTCAGCAGCTTGAGGTTCACAGGCAGGGTGGGCTGTGTTAGAATCACAGGTGGTCTTATTAAAATTCTCTAATCCCCCCTTTGTCTCGTGAAGCTTTGGCATCCCTTCCTCAGGCCTCCCCAGTGGAGTAAGCGAGCCCCTCTAAGGGTGTGGTTGTTACAGGCCCGGAAGGCAGATCCGATGCATCCCTCTTTGACAGTCCCTGTCTTCCTATATATCAAACCAACGAGGCAAATGTTCTTGGGCACTTCATTTTTGAGATCTTTCTGGCTATGGACTGGTATACAAGGGGTTATAATAAAACTTCTTTTGTATTAACAGTCACTTGTGGATGCTAAACTTTCAATGTATTAGGGGCATTTGTCTCCCCTTTAATAGAAAACTCCTGGCTTGTTTCTTATACTAGAGAGATACAGGCTCTAGCTTGTTTTGTTTTGTTACTTGACTCAGCTTCTGGTTGATAAACTAGGAAAGAACTTTGGAATAGAAGTTGTAAGACCCAGGCTGTTCTTACTTCTGCTGCTATGTCCTAGGAATAAGAACCCATGCGACCTCGGAGCTTCACCATCTCCTCGAGTCCAGTGTCAGGCGGGTTGCAGAATCTCTCATGTCCTTTCTGGCTCACAGGCTCTAACAACCATCACGTCCTATCACTATTATAATATATCATCTTGCTATATATACACTAACAAAGTAGAGATCATTGAAGAAAATTATGTTACTCACAAGACCCGAGTATAATTAGCATACTAATCTCTTGCTGATAAATGCCAGTAACTGGAAATAGTTTGTCCTCTAAATAATGTCTTTACCTAAATCTTGCTTAGCCCTAGTTATTTGTTTAAAAACAAACATTTATTTGTTTATTTTATGGATAACACAAAAGAAAGGCTTTGTTCCTGATGCTATTCTTATCGCAAATTTCAAATTAGTGAATTTGGTTCGGAATGAAAGTAGTTTTAACTTCGCCATTAGTACATGTAAACTGGATTTTATAAATAAATGCATTTTCCTCTCCTATTCCCTATCTGACCTTGGAACCCATTCACCTGTTTATTTTTTCCAATTGATCAGAGATGTGAGAGGACTCTGGTCTTTGCCACTGCACTTTGGTAAACAGAGAGCTCAACAAAAAATTGCTCTTGTAATCTTGTAATTTTCCAAGCCCGGGAACCGAGCTAGACTCAATCCCACCGCGATGCCAGCTCGATCAGGGCCCCTGGACCTTGAACTGTTACCTAAGCCAACCTCCCTCCTGCACCAGCTGCACCCCTCATTCGTAGTGACCCACTTTTCCTTCTTACATAAGCGACCTGCATCAAAGAACCGGAGAGAGGACTCCGGCGGCAGCAGCATGTGTGGCCGCGGGATGTGTTCTTGGAGATTCTGTGCCTGCTCAGGAAGATGCCAGTATTCTGCTCAGTGTTCCAGGAATTCTGGACACAAGCCTTTCCCTTCTGATTAGATACACACTAATCTCAAAAAACGTGTCACGTTCTTAGAGCCTGGGCGTCTTAGAGGGTCCTACAAAGAAAACCAAAGTGAAATGAAAAAAGGCAGATCCTCCTGTTTCTTGGTTTTATGAACTGCTCACCACCCATCACCTTTACATGACCAGAGTTGTTTTTCGGTATTAGTCATGTTGTGTTCTGTGTGATAATGCCTTAAACCACCGAAGTGTAGGCATACTGGTCACAGACATGGAGGGAACATTCATAATCTGAGTGTCAGATTCTGTGTACTGTTTCCATGTATTACGTGGTCATCCCACAGCCCCATGGGGCAGCGCTGTTAGGGTCTGCATTTATTTTTTTCTTTTCTTTTTTAAAAAATAGTTTATTGATTGTTAGAGAGAGAGGAAAGGAGAGGGAGAAACATTGATGTGAGAGTGCAACATCGATTGACTGCCTCCTGCACGGCCCCAACCAGGGATCGAGCCCACAACCTGAGCATGTGCTCTTGACCAGGAATCGAACCAGCAACCTTCTGGTGCACAGACAACGCCCAAACCAGCTGAGCTAGACCAGCCAGGGCTAAGGTCTGCATTTCACTGATGAAAGAACTGAGGCACAGAGAGGCTAGCATCTTGTCCAAGGTCACACTAGCTAGTGTATGTCTGGACACAATCTTAGGCAGAATAGCCTTAGGGATCAGAGAGAAGTCATTCTGTCCAGCTGCTTGGCATCTGTGGAGATGGTGGAGGGGGGGGACTCTGGTTCCCTGGGTGTGTAGGAGGGAACAGCATCTGGGATGCATAGAGCAGGGTGCATGGGGCCCTTGCAGAGGAAGCGTAGCTAACACAGTGCAGGTAACACTGAGAAATGCCAGTAGATGTCCATGAACCTCTCAGAGATAAACCAGCATCTTGCATTTTAAACTAACTGCAGTGTATGGGCAAATAGAAAGGGAGGGTCCTGGTGGAGAGAAGGGAAAGATGCAAAAAAGGGTGAAAGGAACAGAGGTCAGAAGAAAAAGAAATGGGCCAGGGAAAGATGCTGAGGGTCAGGGAGAGGACCAGATGAAAACCTTGCTGAGAAGAGATGGGAGGTGATAGAAGGGACAGAAAGGATGCAGGTGGGAAGAAGAGACCACGCTGGCTCTGGTCCCATACAGTTCCTTTGCTAGGCGGCATAAACAGGATAGGTGGGCCAGGAGGGGCACTGGCGGTCTGTACACAGAAGCCCTCTGAGGCCATCGGCTCTGGGGAAGGGACAGGGTTTCTGCAGCCTCTGGGGGCTTTCCACCCCCTTCTCATTTTCCCAAAGGAAGGATGGACAATGATCCCAAATTTGACAATCACACTGAAAGAATGCCACAGCAGGGCAAATGTGCCATTTGGCTCATAGAGCTGGGGATTCTCCCAGAGAAGGACACCTGCCATTACCTCCTCTGAGGCCACGAGGTGCCACAGATAACCTGGATTCTGCCTACACTCTTGTCCTTCCCGCAATGCTGAGATCCACTGCAAGTGTTCTTTGCACAGTGACCCTTCCAGCCTGCCTCGTCAGCCCGGTCCTGGGGAGGGGGAGGTTGGGGCTGAGACAGTTGGGCGAGCAGAGGAGATGGGCTGCAGGGAGGCCAATCTGTGCAAGCGTCCTTCCTGAGATGCTGTGTCGCCTCACAGAGCAGACAGGCACATTTGCCAGAGTGGCCTGGGGACGCTGTAACGAAGCATGGCTGAATGACCTTGTAAAGGTGTCAGCCTCCACCCAAAATGTGCCTGCATTTCCAGGGCAGACTTTGGAAGAGGCGGGAGGGGAACCAAGGTAAATATGACATTTGAAGGTTGCCACTGGTCTCAAGGGAAGAGCTGGAGGACAGATGAGGAAGGAGGGGGGACTGGCCTGGCACGGTCTGCATCTGAGAGGCAGCTGCATCTACAGAACGGACTGCGGCAGGTGCCCCGAGAAAGCTCACCGAGCCCTGCCCAGACTGAGAATGTGGGGCTCGCCAATGATGCCCAGAGGAGAAACAGGCAGAGTGGGCTCTAGAGTCATGCAGATGTATGTGTAAATCCACTTTCCACCTCTTACTGGCCACGTGACCACAGTCATTTAACTTAAACTCCAAGGTGCTTAAGGCACCTCTCAAGTTTGGGGCTCTTGCAGTGAAAAGTCTTGCTTTTATGGCTATTGTTCTAGCACCGGCATTAAAATGTCTATATTGAAAGACAAAGATAAACAGTGACTTTTGAATTAGGAGAACTAAAAATGTTTTAGAAAAGTAAAAACAAACATACAAACTCATCAACAGTATGGCGCCACCAATCTATCAAATAATCCAGTGCTCTATTCTGGCACATGCTGGTGGACCTCAGATGCTCGCTCAGGTCGTCCTGTCACCCAGAATGAAGAACTGCTAACATATTGTTCTCCTAATGAATTATAGAAAGGAAGTAGAACACCATAGCAAGAGTTGTTTTTATCAATGCAGTGACTTTATTCTAGGCTGCACCTGCACTTCTCCTGAGGGAAGGCCTTTGGGCTGCCAGTGGCCAGGATGCTGCAGGAAGCTTGTACAAAGCTATCACTGTTATTCATTTTGAGAGGGTGGTAAGGGTTAAAATAATTCATAAAATGATTTTAAAATATGAGCATTAACTGAATGCATAGGCTATCAATGAACGCTATTTTCCTTCTCCAAATCTATGTGGTAACCTTGCCCCTCTTATTCTGATTGGAGGCTCTATTTGAAGAAAAGTGAAAGGGTGGATTCATTAAATCAGTTAGAACAAAAATCCTAATTAATCTTAATTAAAACACATGATTTGACAGGCAAGATCTTTTAAAATAAATGAATGATGTTATAATCCATTAAAGTACAGGGCCTCAGAGGTTTTTAAAAAGAGGCTGGGAGCCCCATCCATGTAATAGAAGGGCATTACCAGCTGAATTTCAGCAGGAGTTTACTTTCAGATATGATTCTGGTAGTAGTGAAGGATTTGTCCTGAGGAATTCACGCTTCCCTCTTGTTCATGTTATAATAGATGGTTTTTCAGGGCAGCTGGCTTGGATTAGGGTAAGGAGTGGATTACATGCATTACTTTGGCCTCATTAGAAACACAGGCTCGCCAGTAGACCCAGGGGGCAGCCAGCTCTGCATTAGGGGACAGGCAGTGACCACTGAGGGCTGATTGGAAGTGACCAGGCCTTCCAATAGTCATTATTACTGTGGTTTCTTCAACATTTCTCCTTAATATCACTGTGGTCCTTGACTAAGAAGAGGGCTTGCCTCTGAGAGCACTTGCATGTCTAAGAGCAGAAAGTCCTCAGAGGTTATGGAGGAGCAGTGGCGGGTTAGACACTCCGGGCTGCTCTGACACTATTACTACCTCTCTCTCTTTCTTCTACAGTTCTTGCGCTTAAGCTTCTTCCTATCTCTCTTCCTTTCCACCTCCCTCCACATCCACAGATGGGGTGGCTGCGTTCCGCGCCTTCTTGAAGACGGAGTTCAGCGAGGAGAACCTGGAGTTCTGGTTGGCCTGTGAGGATTTCAAGAAGACCAGGTCAACTGCAAAACTGGCCTCCAAGGCCCATAGGATTTTTGAGGAGTTTGTGGATGTGCAAGCTCCGAGGGAGGTGTGTTGGCAGTGGCGAGCGTCTTGTCAGACCTCTATCCATGGCTCCTGGCTCACACTCCCTCCTCGTGGGGGTTGGAGCCAGGCATGATGGGGCCTTTCTTTTGAACTGAGCCTCACAGCTCTGATGGCTCTTGATGAAAGGGGGATCCTTTTAAGGGGCAGAGCCCAGGACTTGTAATTGCCCGTAGGAACTGTGTTGCTATAGAGACTCTGTAAGGAGAGATGCCACTGAATCCATGTGAGTTTTCCTAGTGGAAGGCAGCATGGCTTAAGGGAATGAACATCCACTTTAGAATCTTGTCCCCATTTCAGCTCCACAACTTATTGGCTGTGTGATCTTGGACAAGTTACCTAGCCTCTTTGAATCACATTTTCCCCAATGTAAAAGGATCTAATATGACCTCCATGAAAAGTGTTTGAAAAGCATGACTAACCTTACATTTAAAAGCTGCTGCCATTGATTATTACATAGTTAGGACCAGCTGCCAGGCACTTTGGCCTTTGAGAGCCTGTGACCATGCTCTCTGTTTGTGTCTCCAGGTAAACATAGACTTCCAGACCCGAGAGGCCACGAGGAAGAACATGCAAGAGCCATCCCTGACTTGCTTTGACCAAGCCCAGGGAAAAGTCCACAGCCTCATGGAGAAAGACTCTTACCCCAGGTTCCTGAGGTCCAAAATGTACTTAGATTTGCTGTCCCAAAGCCAGAGGAGGCTCAGCTAGACCTCAGATGGGGACTCTTGGAGATCACTGGCTTTCCCCGCCCCTTGCTGCCAAGACCATATTCTAATGTGAAATGTTATAGGTGTTCAAAAGCACTGGTATTTAGGCTGGGAGGCTGGGATGAGGAAGGGATGAAGGGCCATTCCAAAGTGTAATCCAGTCACCAGAACTGGGACTCTATTTCATTTACCCATGTTTGTGTTTTGGTTAGTGGTAGCACCTCGCTGCAGTCACCCTTCTCTGGGTCAGCAACTTGCCCTCCATAATGCCTTGGGTCATCTTCGCTGAGAAGGCAGATTTGCTAGGCTGGATTAATCTGTAAATAATACAAATGCAGTCTCCATCCCTTCCACAGCCTCCTCAGTTAGGATCCCTGACACTCTAACTTGTCCTGTACCCCTATGAGGAATAGCTAGAAGACTGGCTCACATCTGTGATTTGCTATCACAGTGTAATGGCCAGTCTTGGGTGCTGGGACCTCACAGTTTAAGAGAGAGGTCTCTGTGGAATCCCACCCAGGTTTCTAGCACTATCATTGACAGATGTTCTCTGGGAGAATGGGAAAACTCCATGGAGTTGGCTATTTCTTCCATTTCTGTAGGACCAGTATGAAAAGTTGTGCTCACTGCCCATCTTATTCTAGGAAATTCACAAGACACCTCTACCTTGCAAGACCCTTCCAGAAAGGGTCTTGGGAGATATACTCATGACTTTTGATGTGGAGCTGCTATTAAGAGAGATACAGCTTGCAAATCTTCCTAAATTAGATCAAGAAGTTTCCCAGAAGTTGAACAACCAGGAAATGTAGCACCAGTAGACCTTTGTGCAGTGGGGCACCATATAACCTTTCTGCTGCTTAATGTATTCTCTGCCCTCACCTCCTTGTGGCATCACACACCACCAATCTCTTAGAATGACTGACAGCTTGGCAAAGGGAGGTGAATCCCATAGCATGGACAGCTCTCATGGTGCCTAATTCTCTCCCTGTCTCTCTCTGCCCCCCGACCATGCAGGTCATGTAATTATGATGGGGGAGAATGGAAACTTAGGCCATAACTCTTTTTACAGCTTGCTTCCTGGGAGCATGCTTTCTTAGAAAGGTCCTTCTCATGAGGGCCATCTTGGCTATTCAGCAGCTTCTTTCTTGATCTCTGACCTTTCGGGATTGAATATGAGGCTAAGAAGATCACTGTGAACATTTGGCTATGGAGAACCTTCCTAAAATGTTTTCATGGTACCCTCGGGCTGCTCTTGGAAATATATCAGGAAACTCTTTCTTGGGGGATGAGCGAGACACATGGAACCTACTCTAGCTGCCCAAGAAAAAGATGATTTTGGCACAAGACTGCAGTGCCAAGGAGATGAATCCTCAGCAGAGATTCTTCCAGAAAGTAGAAGAGGACCCTGGAAGAGGCTGGTCTCCAGGTGAACTGAATCACTGAGAACATGGCAAAGAAACTACTGGGATCATTCAAAGTCGATGGATTTGGAGGCATGGCAGATCTCCAAAGCTTTCAGCTTGACTAAATGGAACAGCATCTGGTTAGGCGTAAGCTCTGGAGTGCAGGTGATTGAGAAGTGGGCCGAAGCATTCTCCTCTTGTGGGGTGATGGGACTTTTTTAGACATTCAGGGGTTCCAGTGTTTCCATTCCTGTCCAGAACTTCACAAATTTCTTCCTTCCTTGGCTACAGCTATGCAAGGCCAGGAAGGCTCTCGAGTCCCACTGGTGTTGGGTCCATTGCCCGGCCATGGCACATCATATCCATGAGTGAAGATTGGTGTGTCCGTATGAACCACCAAGAGCAAGAGAACACATACCTCTAGTTCTCACATTGAAGAGACCAGTGGTATTTCATGTTCAAGAACTGTGAAGCCTCAAATGGGTGTTCCTAGTTAGATCAGGTAGTATTACCCTGCCCCCACTTGTAAAAAATCATCCTTAGCTAAAGCTGCCAGAATTAATGTAATGATCAAATTCTTGAACAGGGTATTTTAAACATTGTTTACATATGAAATGTGCATCTGCTGCCAACTCTACTGTTGAATATGAGATGCATAGAAATTGGAACAGCACAGAGTTATGGAAATCTGAACCATTCTAAGAGGGGCCTTTTTACCACTTCCACTATCCCCAGGAGAAAAGTCCAAACTAGAGTGTCATGCCGTGGCCTCATTGGGGCCCTAGAGTTCTTGCCAAATGTTGGTGGAATGAAGGCTATAGTTGGTGGTGTCATGGTGCCTGGTGACTTCCTCCCACGATGGCGAGGCAGGAAGGACCAGGCTTGGGTACCCTGAATTTTGCCGCTAAGTGAGGGTATGTGGGCATGTTAGAGGAATGTGATAGCTATATTTATGGTACTCCCATGGAGTGTGTGTGTGTGTATGTGAGAGAGAGAGAGAGAGAGAGAGAAATTGTGAGCATTAGCCTAGCGACACAGAGATGATCTTCTCGTGGGGTGGCACTGTCCTCACACCTTTATGTCCTGCTTCCAACAAAAGGCACAGAGCTCTGCGCTCTCATGCCTACTTTCAGGCACTTTGGCCATGCCAACCCAGATTTTGGTCTGTGACGAAACAAAGAGAAATGTTTACAACATCTAGAGCAATATCCAAGCATACCTCATCCCCGACCCTCCGCCTCCCCCGGCCCTGCCTGCTCTCCCATTGCCTCCTCCACAAGCCCTCCCGCCTTGGCAGTGGGCACCCGCAGGGACCGCTCTTCACTAAACGTCTTCCTTTCTCCTCCGGCCGCTGTGCTGTGGACTGCCTCCTGCGCTCGAGGCTCACTCTCAGCCTGGAAACTTTGAAGGCCCAGGGCAAGTCAGGGCAGTGGGCCGGGCAGATCTATGATGTTGAGGACCATTCTCCATCCTGAGTGGCCTTTTGGCCCCATTTGAGTGTTAAACTGTTTGGGGGCTGGTGTGGAATTTCCTGTTGCCCTTGGCAAACCAAGTAGAATGTGATCAGCGACAGCCATTCACAGCCCTGGGCACCTCTGGGGTGATGAAGGGCCCTCTGAGCGGTATTTATTATTAAACTTGAGCATCGAGGAACCTCCACACCCTGGAAAGCCTCTTGTAAGTGCTAATTCCCAGGCTCCACACCCAGAGATGCTGATCCAATAGACCTAGGGTGGGACCCAGAACACTGCATTTTTAATGAGCTCCTAGGTGCGTAGTGGACCCCACTTTGAAAAAAGATGGTCTATGACAGTGGTCTAAGACGGTGGCTCACACTCTTGGCTGCTCATTGTAATTACCTGGGGGAGTTTTAAGAACCCAAATGTCCAGGTCCCACCCCAGAACAGCTTGGCACTGAGACCCAAGGCATTAGTAGTTTTTAAAGCTTCACAGGTGACTCCAATGTGCAGGAGAGGTAAGGAAGCAGGGGCCTGAGAAGTGAGGAGCAGCACAGCTGAGCAGAGAACACCATGTGTGGGCCCAGGGCTGGAGCACCCAGACGCAAATGAGCACAGGGACCAGGAACCTGCCAGCCCTGAGTTTCACTGTTGAGGTAGTAGCCTCTGTGCCCTTTCATTCTGACTTGCTCCTTTGAGATACAAATATCATGTTTCTGCCCCAGCTACGTGCATTATTGGGCAGCGGTTATGCCAAAAGCGGGGGCTGAGGGGGACTTGGTTAAGAGAATTTTTGCCACACTCCCACCTCCCCCAGTCTTGTTAACAGTACTTCCTCCACGTCGGTCCTGGGCTGTTTCTCCCGTTTGTTTTCATGCAGTCTTGTGTTTGGCCATTTCGTGTTAGACTGTGCCTCTGTCCCCAAGGCCATGCGATGTGGTAGTTGGAACTCAGGCAGTGGGTGAAGGTGTGTGGTAGTAATAATAGCAGTAGCACAATAACTTCCAGATTCCTCAAAGGAGGGTGTCACATCCTGGGAATATCCATCTCTTCAAGGCTTTCTTTTCCAAGGCCACAGTGGGGTTCCAGTTCCTGCTCTGAGCCCTCACTGTTCCCTTTTGGTCTCAGGTGGGATGAGCACCTGGTAAGTTCCTAGTTGATTTTACCCCCTGGTGCTCTCCCCAGGACTTGCTGCTCTGAATCAACTGAAGCTGTGAGGCGGTGTCCTGCCCAGGCTGCGACCCTGGGCACCTCTCCTGGGCAGGGCGGGGCGGGGTTTCTGGGTTCTCCAGTCCCTGTGCTGAGGGAAAGCGATGAACCCTTTGTGCTGAGACCTGGGCGAGGGTGGGACTGGAAAGGGAAGGGGAAGGGTAAGAGGAAGGGGAAGGGGGAAATAAGCAGCAAATGTGGGGTCTGCTTCTCCATGAACCAGAAAGGAGAGGTGACGAGAGGCATATTCTCAGAGACAGGATGGCCTCCCTTCCACAAGAGCGCCCAGCACTCTTCTGACCCTGTGTGCCCACGTCCAAGCAAGGCAGAGGAATTACAGCTTTCCATCTGAGGCTGTCCTTGAATCAGCCCATGTCAGTCCTCTTTAAATCTGTGTCCCTCCGGGTTGGAAGCAAGAGAGGTGGCAAAGTCACCCATGGCATCAAGAGCCTGTGCCCCTAGGCCTGAGACTGTGGAGGAAGAACCCAAGAGCAGAGATGCCTTCCTGGCCCTGTGGCCTCTCAGGACTCCAATTTGATGCTGTGGACCGAATGGGAGACTGCAGGATGGGGGCCATTGGCCTTCCCAGTCTGGGGCCCGGGTCCTCCCAGTAAACTGTCCCCTTCTTGAGTCTCACTCCCTTTGCCCCTTCTGCTCCCTCCCCTCTGCCAGGTGCAGAAAAGGTGGCTGACCTGGGTGTGGTCTCCAACCAAGGTAGCATTAGCTGAGTCACGCGGCGCGCACAACACATTTGTAGCAGCTCACCCGCCACATGAAGCGCTTGGCTGATGGAGTCCTCATTGAGTTGTTTCATTACCGTACAAAGTGGGAAAATGTCATTCACCTTGACTATAAACAAGGCTGTGAAACATAATAAACAGAACCTGAACACGCTGCCCTTCATTCTCTGCCCACGTTTCTGGCCGGCTGACTCTTTACGAGGCGCCTTCACATAACACATGGGTGCCCCGGGGAGCGCACGACCTCGCCTGGCAGAGGCTGGCACAGGGCCAGCCAGCCACCGGGAAAGTGGCGGTGCAGTGGGTGGAAATGGGATGGGGATGGTTTGGGATGAGTGTGGCGGTGGAAAGTAACTTCGGGTTACAAGAGTGGCTTTGAAACTGTAAAATGCCATACACACAGGAGGTGGTATTTGTATTAATACCACCTACTGCTTGAAAGTGCAGGGAGAGAAAGGCTGAGGGGAGGTTTGTGTATTTGTTCAGCTGGGCCATCTGAAATGGAGTGGTTGGTCTTGTTTATGGCCGTACTCGCTTTATACAATCTTTGTGTCCCTGAAAAGTGCATTTGTCATCAGCCTTTGAATGTCTCTGGTGATCGGGTTCCATGGAGGGGGCCGAAGGAGAATTAGGGGTGGTATCTGCTGGCAAAAGCTCCTTTTTCAGGTGTAGTGATGATAGAGAGATACAAAATCTTAAGAATCCAAATGATTAAAATGCACCAGAGAAAGTCTGTCTTGAAAGGAAAGCTGACATTTCTTCTAAGGTGAATGCTTTGTGTTAAGTGAAAACGCCATTTGTCACGCTTATGATCACCCCTAAATTCCAGTTTTGTGGACTGGGCAAGGTGAGGTGGCAGCCTGTGCTGCTGCAGACAGGAGGCCACCCACTGGGGAGGGGATGCCATTGGATCCTCTCCAGCTTTGCTTTCCTACTCCTTACCTAATTGCTCCCTGGGGGTTTCTGACCCCTCCAGGGCCACAAAGATCAGGGAAGGACAAGAGGAGAGGGAGCAAGGAGGACACACCTAATGCACATGCCTTCTGGGACAAGCCTTGGGCTCTCTGGGCCTGGGAGGAGACCTTGTCTCATTGAAGACCCTGTCTCTAGGGGATTCCTTCCCCCCTCCAGCTCTCCCAACAAGGGTGAGAGCTTTCCTACTCTGGCTGGTGGCTTGCTCCTCCCTGGGCCGTGCCCCAGCTTCTCTCTGCAGCAGTCTATTCGCCCCTCCAGGACAGCTCCCTCTTGGACAGCTCCCTGGATGACCCCCATGCCAGTCTGTTTGTCTCAAGAGGCCCACAATTGGCCCATTGGAAGCATTTGGGTCTTACTTGCCCCTATGAGTACAAGGCAGCAGCTGCTCTGCCTTCACTCTGCAGCCAGAGCACCACGCTGGCCCGCTGCTGACGCTTTTGATCTTTCAGGCTGGAATCAGACCCCAGTCTACTGAATCCCCAACCATGAGGGGCGCATGCCAGGCTCTCCCAGGGACGCACCACACCACTCTCCTTGGGAGTGAGCTGAGAGCCAGGCACTCCACCCCTTCCCTTCTGGTAGGATGGGACACTAACAGCTCACTAACAAACCTCCACTCTTTCTTCCCAGCCCCTGGCCTTTTCTCTGTGGGACAGGTTTGAGTGCCCCCTCACTGGTCCTCCACTCCCTCCCTGCAGTGTCTGCTTGGTCTGAACCCCTTCGGTATCTGAGATCTATCTCCTAGGCCTTGACAGAGAAACCTCTTACAAATGGAAAACATTATGTGGGACATCTCATTAACAGAATAAATGTGGGGAAAAAGCCAAGCAAAATCCCTTCTGGTTCTGTTATCTACATCAACAAAGTGAACGCCATGGCCAGAGGGAGGCAAAAGAGAGGTCCCAGGTCATTGAGATGGCACCCTCCTGGGGATACACTTCTTTCTTGGGGTCTGTCCTGGTTCCCTGTCCAGGAGGTGTGGGACAAAACCCTCGTGAAGGCTAGAGAAAAGAGTGAGGGTTCATCATGGGTGTTGCTTCCCTGTCTGCCTCATTTCCTAGCACAGACGGGAGTTTGAGGCCACCACCCATGTCATAGTGGCTGCATGTGCAGCCATGGAGGTAGAAAGTCCTCAGCCTGAGGGAGCTGTCTTTGGCCAGGGTTTCATCAGCACTCTTCTTTATAATTTGGGCACTGACACTAGGCTGTCTGAGTCTGAATCCCAGCTTTAACTCTTAAAGCTGTGTGATCCTAGGAAAGTTATCTCCCTGTGCCTCAGATTTCTCGTCTTTAAAACGAAGATAATAACACAGCTACCCACTGGGGTTGTTGTGGACATTAAGTAAGTTAACATGGAAGATGCTTAGCATGAAGCCCAGGACACAGTGGGCAACAGTGTGTGCTAGCTGGTGTATCTTCTCTCACACTGGGGTCAACAGGACTCCGTGCAGAGCTTCTTGGCTGAAAACAAATGATGTGACAGGATCCCTGTC